TTAAATTAAGGTTTAAAGGTCAACATGCATTGCGAGTATTTTATGAGAGTAGGAACTGTAAGGGGATAAAAGCGTATAATTGTCTGAATATAAATATCAGACTCTTCATAACCTCCTTACAGGATAAAGAAATGACAGGAAGACGTGACTGTGATCAAAGTGAACGTGTGTTCCTGCAGAACATTACTCTTACCTATAGGTTACAACTGAGTTTGTGATTTTATTCATTTTTATCATCTTTAAAACTCTGCATTAAAAATTAAAATAATAATAAGCTATATTCAACATATACAATGCTTAAATTTATTAAAACAAATTTATGTAAGGTTTTTAACAAATTATGGTTTGTGCCACTGCTGCTCTAAACTAACAGTACTGGTGATTACCAAAATCATTTTTTAGCTTTCTGTATTGGTTAGTCCTCCAATATGCATAAGCTCTTTAGTAACGGCAGTAGGCTATTTCTAATACTATAATATAGGCCAAAAGCTGTTATGAAGGGCATAGGCCTTTTTTATGTGAATAAATACTATTTAGTTGTTTAAGTTTATTTGCCCAATAAATGACTAACATTTTTTGATTTAAACAATTTTGACAGATTCCTAAAATGTGTTTTCTCTTTATTATGGCAAGTGGCCCAATAAATTAAGCACTGTATGTTTTCATAGCATTCAGTTGGCACGTTTGTTTGAAGGACATTGGGCAAAATGTGGAATAGTGTTTTTTGTCAATAAAATAATCATTGCACCCTCCTGTGGCCTTGGGAGACAATTAGACCTATACAATAAAGACCTATTTAATCTGCATATAAAACATTAGAAATGAGGTATTTGTTTAATATTTATTGTGTTTGATTGTTAAAACAAAAAATATTTGTTGTTTGTCTCAATAAATTGTGTTAATTATAAATACAGTGGTTAAATAAAAAAAAAAATTTCTATTCCTTTTTGTTTTAAAAAAGGTTATAAAAAAAGTCAATAATTATCGATACCGACCGATATGAAACATTATTTCGTTGATAAATGTTTTTAGCTATATCGCCCAGCCCTAGTTTGATAAAATATTTCCAACTGGGGTTTGAATTTGAGCAATAAAACTCTTTGCAGTTTGAAGTCTAAGTTACAGTGCAAGAGCTTTGCCTGGTTTATCACCAAATTCATAGAAACGGTGTCGTGACTTGAGTAAAAGCTGCTCCGCTTGGTTAGTGGAAAGAAGTGACTGGCTTTTTAAAGGGGTGGTTGACTGGGTTTTTTCTAGGCTTGATTGTTGCCAGAATTTTAAAAGACGATATCTCCCATTTGCATTGAACTTTCAGCGCTGCAACTTTGCAGATATTGTTTATGCTCAAACAGCAACATTACACACTAACTAACGTTAAAAAAGTGAAATCGCAGTCAACCACCCCTTTAAATGGCTCACTGTATCATTGACTCACTCGAATAGTTTAAAAACATGGATTCATTCAGTAAAGAAACACTGCTGTGTGCTCATCACAACAGTTCTCCTAGGGCAGGGCTGTCCAAACTCGGTCCTGGAGGGCCGGTGTCCTGCAGAGTTTAGCTCCAACCCTAATTAAACACACCTGAACCAGCTAATCAAGCTCTTACTAGGCATAGAAGCTTCCAGTCAGGTGTGTTGAGGCAAGTTAGAGCTAAACTCTGCAGGACACCGGCCCTCCAGGACCGAGTTTGGACAGCCCTGTCCTAGGGCAGTGCTTCTCAAAGTTTGGACTCCGGTCCGGATCCGGACCTGGAGGGAATTCAGTCTGGACCCGCCTCCATTTAGTATTTCAAGAACACGAATTATTTCCTACTTTGATAAAGGCATGTTAAGCTTGTAAATCATATGTTTAGTTTTTTAAACCGCTATATCTTCGCTTCAACAGCGCCTCCTGCTGGCAGAGAATCAATTTGCATTTGCAAGTCTGTGGGAAACACTGGTGTCTGTCAGCAAACATAAACAAAAAGCATGCTTCAGAACTGTTTTGAGAAGGTGCTTTGAGCCATGTATTATTACTATGACTACTACTACTACTACTACTACTATTACCATCTTGTGCCCTGCAATAATCATTTACTCAAACTCGCTTTTATGAGATAAAGGGGGGGGAAAAAAATCGGCATCATATATCAGCCATCGGCTGCCCTGATTTCTAAATATCGGCATCGGCCAGTGAAAAACCCTTATCGGTCGACCTCTATTGCTGACACTTAAATTAATTGTTTTGACACTTTTGCACTTTATTTAAAAAAAAAAATGTTTATTTGTTATGTATGCTTATTAAAAACAAGTTTTGTAATAACCAATTGTTCCGGTCCAGACGTTTGACACTGATGAAAATTCAGATTTGGACCTTGGAATATAGACTTTGAGAACCCCTGTCCTAGGGCTTTAATTTCGTTGGCCAAATTAATGTCTAAAATGTAATTATTTGCACCTTTACCTTATCTTCATTTTTAAGCAAAAACTTTTATGTAACCCAGGGCTTAAAGTTCTCCGGAACCGTGCCGGATCTCCGTCGTGCAGTGTTTAGCTGAAAAAAAATCCTACATTAAAAAAAAAATTGTTTATCACTTTCGAGTCCATGAGTTCGCCTACCAATGGTATGAGAGGAGCACAGCTTTCACTCTCAACCAAACTAACATTACTAGCCAATCAGAATTTTTTTGCTCTTATAAACATGAGACGCGCATAATAGTATCCAATTGCAGAGTCGCAGCCCTGATGAATTGAGAAGCACGACAAAAAGCTGCGAGGCGCAATGGTCAAAGATGTCCATCTAGCGCATATTTACATAGAAAAACTAATTAAAAAGCAGCAGAGCTTTGTAAACAGCTCAGAGTAATCATGTCATCTCCATAAGAACGATATGATTGCCAGAACAAATTTACCGGGATTTTTGAAAAGGTCCTGTTCACTAGGGCTGTGTCTCACCAGCAAAGTCACGATATGATCTGTATCACGATACAGAGGCCACGATACGATACATATCATGATACGGGACTGCACTGAATTTCACCTCAGAAGAATTGAGTAAAACAGCTGTTTATTAAACACTGCATACTATAGGGCTGTTGCTAACTATTGGCAGAGCAGGCAGTTGACCTCTGCATTATGAAGGGCCTCCATAACTGTACCACAGTACAATATAGGTAATGGCATATGTTTCATGCTTACATTGTGCACTCCCCACCAGGTACAATATTCAGATTGTCTTGTTTGTACTCGTTCTAATAAATTTATATTGTAATGTACTCATTCTAATATATTTAAATCATCTTAACATTGCTGGTAGGTTATCATTGCACATATCAACACACTCTCTACGTTTAAAAAATAAAAATAAGAAGAGTTCTAAACTAATGCGCTGCCTTCACTGTACCTCACGCACACACGTTAGTCACTCACACTGCGCGCGCGCACAGACATTCTTTTCAGCGCTGCACCACAATTTTATCAATAAAATAGCTTAATCGCTGAAGAGCTACATTATCTTTCTCAACAAGGAGCTGGTAACATCATAGTTTCTAAAGCAATTAAAGCCACAGCTTCACTGTTAACAACGGCAAAACGGTGGTCATTTATACATACACAGCCTCTCTCTCTCTCCCCTCTCTCTCATAAATGAACACTTGATAAATTACACTTTTCTGAGAATAGAATAGTGGAGATCGCTATACTGCAAGCTAACCGGTGTTTTCAGAAAGCAAGCGCGTTTATCCACAGTGAAGAGAGCGCGCGTACACATGGTTGCCAGGTTGGCAAAAACAAGTAACACACTTGGCAGATATTTCCGTATTGGGCAAGTGGGAAGTTCCGTTTCGGGGATTACGTCTCTTTATATCAGGCAACCCCGGTTGTGTTCCTCTGCGACCAGATTAAACCTTGTTGTAGCCTATATATTATGCTGTATTCATTATTTTTTAGAAACCTTGCCCTTTTCTACTCCGTTTTAAACGCTGCTCTTGTATTCAAATTAAGCGCGGCCCACTGCAGTGCATGTGCCGCGATATCGATACAGGGACAGCTCAAATCTCAAATCAAAGGGTCAAATCTCTGTGGCGATACATCGATGTATTGAACACAGCACTACTGTTCACACATGATCTCTTAATGGTAACTTACAGGTAATTTACCAGTAAAGACTGTATGTGTGAGAGGGGCTAAACTCTTCCTCTGCATATGCTGTGAATTTGAATTGCCTAACGTTCATCTGGGAAAACATTGTGCATTATCTCACTAGATTTGTAATGTAAATAATTTATCAACTTTGCCAACACAGGAGAATACATCAACCTATTTCTAATTATGCCATTTTTTGTACATCGCGATTTCAAAACAAACATTTCTGAGTTTGCATGTGGCCAAATATAAAAATTTAATGGATTTAAACATAGTTTAATCACGCTGTAAAGTGAAACGTCACCAGGCCGTTTATTCAACGAATTGTTGAATAAAGTCGTTTTTTTTTTTTCTTTCGCGCACAAAGTATTCTTGTAGCTTTGTAAAATTACGGTTGAACCCCTGATGTCACATGGATTATTTTACAGATCTCCTTGCTACGTTTCTGAACTTGGGAACATTTCAGTTGTATTGCTGTCTATGCAGGGTCAGACAGCTCTCAGATTCCATCAAAAATATCTTAATTTGTGTTCCGAAGATGAACGAAGGTCTTACGGGTTTGAAACGACATGAGGGTGAATGATTAATGACAGAATTTTTATTTTTGGGTGAACTAACACTTTAAGTTCAACAGAAGAGGGTAAACTTTATCACTCGACTGAATCTGCACATGCATTTTGGAAGGTGTTCTTGCTCCGTCCAAGCAGTAAATGCAAATGTCTCTGAAAGAGCACCATATAGCGTAACTTCAGCCGCTCAGGTATGTCAATACAACCCACTTCAGGGGCTGACAAAATTACTTTTTAAAATCAGTCAGAGCTATTGAAATGCATCTTAATATTTACAAGTAAATCTCCAATAGGGCTGCACGATAAATCGCGACCAATATTAGGCAAAAGCTGCGATATTCATGCACACATCTTGTCAGTGAAGCACGGTTCTGTGATCAGTAGTAAATTTCCATCCGAAGGCCAGAGGGCGCTCTCGCGCAGAAACTCCAAATATGCCCTGCAGAAGAAATCCTGGGCCTTCATTTAACAACAGTGCGTATGAGGAATGTGTGTAAAAATAAGGACAAAATATAGAACCTTTTCTACGCACTGTTGATAAATGAGGCCACAGGAAATCCCTGTCGTTGCAGCTGAATAAACAGAAGATTTAAATGCTTTCATTGATTCAACGTGACTAATAAACACACGGCTACAACAACATGGTTTATCTGAGTTGTTCTTATTATAATTTTCCTTATAATAAAGTATTGAATATGCAATGCCTTTATCACTGCTTAGAATACTATGAAATATGTTGTGTGCCTTATTCTGTGTAAGAAGTCACATCATCTCACAGAAGGATTTATTTCAAACACTCGACTGACGTTATGAAGTGAGGTTGGAGTAAAAACATGTTATTAGGGCTGGGCAAAAATTTTTTATTTTTCGATTAATCTTTTTTTTTTAACATCATACAGTGGGGAAAATAAACATCATCATCATCATAGTATAAACAGGCTACATATACATGCTGTCTTTAAACATTGTTAAAAGACTATAATTTATCCACCTTTTTCTTCAACGCGGTAGTAAGCCTATGGGTGAGACTTCCGGTTCATTAGCCGCTATAGGTAAATAACGAGGAGAATAACAACGTGCAGTAAACTGTAAAACTGTTTGCACTACAAACCAGTGTGTTCATAATTAAGGTAATACATTAAAATAATATAAGACACACCAACTTTCAATATCAAGAAGCAAAACGAACTGTTTTGTTCAGCTAAAAATAGCTGGACGGAGTGGACGCAGATGAGACCGGAAGTCAGACCCATAGAATTTACAAATGGCTGCGGCCATTTTTACTACAAGAAAAAGGTGGATAGTAATACTATAAATCTGCGGAAGCATTTAATATCATGCATAAGGCGGCATGATTTCCGCAATGAATGAATGACGGATGGCGAGGCACACTGTTTTGTTTACTACACACATACTAAAGCGCGGATTATGCTCGCGGTGTTTTCAGCTTCTGCCGTCTCACTATGAACACGAATGTCATCTCCAGCTGCTCTTGAGAGTCACTTCATTAGCATTTTACCGTTTCATTTGAGAAAACTACCGTCATATCACATACACAGCAGCTGCAAGTTCTTCACGGCAACCCGTCAAAATAAAAGTTTAGTTTAACGTTAAGAAACTGTGTCAGAATATATTACTATTTAGCAGTCTTAAGACTCAATGCTACTACTGCTAATAAATATTTCTTTATTTTTAAAGGAATAATCACATCTGTTTTTCTTCTGTGCAGCACTTTGTTTGCCAAAAAATAAAAGGGTTTAATTCTCATTTGATTAGGATAAATTAAATTAATGTTTTATGCCTCCATCTGATTACCAGAAAAATTAAGAACATTTTATAGGGCCTTATTATTGTTTAAAAAAGGACACTATACCAAAAAAAAAAGAATAGGTTACAGGCATGTGGTTCTTAATTTCTTTTTATTAATTCACCATTTGTAAACTTATGTTTACTGTTCGTTTTTTAGAAATATCAATAGCATTTGTATTAAAACTATATTCACTGAATGTAATAAAAAAAATCGTGAATCGAATCGAATCGGGACATCTGAATTGATACCCAGCCCTACGTTATTAAATGTGGTATTTTCACGTGCTTTCAGATGGAGCAGCATTTACTACACGGTGCCGTAGTTCACAGAGAAGCTACGCAAACAGCTGTTAGTGCAGAACGATTTCTTCGTTTTAATAATCGTGTGATTATATCGTCTGCGTTTATTTAATTTTTTTTGTGTAGCTTGTTAGTGAACTAAGACTCGGTGTAGTAAATGCTGCTCCTTCTGAAAGCACGTGATGGAGATTTACTTCTGATTACAAAACTGGCTTTACTGACAAGATGCACATGACAATTGCATTCGATTAATCGTGCAGCCCAACTATAATATATTAAAAATAATAATTTAAAGATTTTGCAACACGCGTGTCTACTTTCTACTGCAAGGATCCCGACTGCGATGGTCGCATTTTGCGGTTTTGTAAACATTTTTCTGCATGTGTGACTAAATTGCCGGTGCGACCACCGCACTGCCCAACTTATAAGCGCTGCCATTTCTGTTGCATATGAGACACATCAAATGGCAAATTAAACAAAAGTGTAACAAAACCTGCGCAGCATGGACAATTTAGCAGCTCGGACCAATAATTGACCTACTGGTATGCCCCTACCCTCAAACGCAGATGAGACGATGGCAGTTCAGTATCAGTTGCAAGGGGACCGGAACTCGGACATCTTTAGGTTTTAGCGTCATAGAGAAACATTGGAAGATCTGAAGCTTTCATCGGTTTGATGCTGTTTATGCTACAAAAATGGAAAAACGATGTGCCCATGGCACTTGTAACACAGATTCCAGGTATCCTGAGAGTATGGGCAATGACATTTATTTTATTCCATTTCCTAATCCTAAACAAAACAGAGCAAAATGTCCCTAAACATTCAGTCCCAATCCCAATGAAGATGAAAACGTTCATTTTCTGGTTGTCATACTCTCATTAAGTTACAATTTTCATCTGCTCAAGCAGTACATTAATGCCATCTTGTGCTTCAGCAAGGTATCTCTGGCTAAAACTAGCTAACGTTAAAGTTAATGAGTCCATGCTAACATACAAACCTAAAAAGCAAACTATTCACAAATCATGTACAGTGTAGGTCAAAAACACATAAAAGGTCTAACGTTACATTTTAGTGCCTCTCCATATTAAACTGGTTAAATGTAAATTAATTTAATCTTACACTGCGGTACATGAACAGTGTTGTCATTGCGATTGTGGCGGCCGTAACATGAGACTTCTCCTGTTTGCATTGTGACCTGTATTTTTTCATATTTATTTTAAAATCTTTTATAAATCTCTCCATGGCATATTGAAGTCCCACAGCTGAATGATGGTCCCTCTGTGTCCAAAATTGATCAAAAACATCTTGGGACAAGGCTTTCACACTGAGACATTAAGACAGTTAGCAACTCTGTTTGTTTGTCTGAGTGAGCAAGGGGGGGTGGGGCTTACCGATGGGACCACTAATTGAAAGCAGCGCAAGCAAACTGGTCAGCAAACGAGCTCAGAACAGGTTTACTTGGGATCCAATGTTGATCTCGCGACACTGTTACAGCACAGCACTGTGAGATCTAGTGAGAAGCATTCAAATTCTGCACAGAATTCTGTTATGAACAGATCAAACAGAGCTGACGCAGAAACCCAGAAGCAGTAACGCTAACTATAACCATGATGTTGTGGCAGAAATAGTACAGTGTTATTACATCATGAATTTCTCTCTCAAAAGGTTGTACAAACCCTGAAATTAAAGAACTTTTCAGTGACTTTCAAGTATTCCACACAGCTGTTTCCAGCACTTTAAAACTCTAAAAATGATCCAATTAAACAAAACGCAATGTATATCAAAATATAGTTTTGAGGTTAATAAACACTTGTGTAAAATTAAAAAATACATAAAATTACCACAATAACCAGTAGATGGCAGCAGAGGAGCATTTATTGGCTTATTAGTCATTCATTTCTACTTGCTTTATATTTAGAAATTTTAAAATAACTATTATAAAATATTAGATCATCAAGAAATAAATTTTTGTCAAAGTTTTGCACTATTTTTTGTGTATGTAGTAAGAAAATATACAAATCACCAATCTTTCCTTCACTTTTTGACTGAATTGCACATCAATTAAAATCACTGAAGTTGTCGGTCAGTTCTATATAATACTAGGGATGCACCGATACCACTTTTTTCAGAACGAGACCGATACTTTCATTTTTGGTACTCGCCGATACCGATACCTGTATCTTCACAGCATTTGTAATTTTTTTTTTTTTAATATTGGGTACAGAAACAAAATAATAGTAATAATAATAATATGAATCATGTTAGTTGGTTCATATAGCAAACAGATATTACCTTCAATTATTTCCACACTTAATTATACCTGTTAAAATGTATTGTATAAGCTTTTGTTACTTTCACTGTTCATTTTAATGGCGCATAAGAGCTGCTCCATTGCAGCAGCTCAATATACTGTAATCACAAAACGTTTTACCCAGACTCAACGCAGCGACACTTAGTCAATATTGTAGTTGCATCTAGGGATGCACCGATACCACTTTTTTCAGAACGAGACCGATACTTTCATTTTTGGTACTCGCCGATACCGATACCTGTATCTTCACAGCATTTGTAATTTTTTTTTTAAAAATATTGGGTACAGAAACAAAATAATAGTAATAATAATAATATGAATCATGTTAGTTGGTTCATATAGCAAACAGATATTACCTTCAATTATTTCCACACTTAATTATACCTGTTAAAATGTATTGTATAAGCTTTTGTTACTTTCACTGTTCATTTTAATGGCGCATAAGAGCTGCTCCATGCAGCTCAATATACTGTAATCACAAAACGTTTTCCTAAAATAATGCAGGGAACCACTCTTTATACATTATAGGAGTGCAGGCGTACTATTTTGGTGATGTAATTTGCGCCACGTGCAGTGTACACGGACCCTGTACACGGACCAACCTCATAAAGTTGTGTTGCTTGACGTTTAAAATAAATGCTGTTTATAGTGAATGCCCCTATCATTTTTGTTTGTTTTATATTTACGATTTAGTTTTAATCCAAATGCATGCGCTAATGGAGCGAACAGCAATCAAGATCATGCAACAGAAGTGCGCGCTCTCGGACTCTCTCTCTCTTGCTCTCTCTCTCTCTCTTTCTCTCTCTCGCTCTCCTTACCGTCAAATAACTTTAGTAACTTGTGCATTGTTTTAATAACTCCATTCTATTCTCTGTTGTTCTGTTTTCAGTGTTTCTTTTTCTGGACACAGCTCTATTCACACGCTGTTTGGTATCGGCTTTTGGTATCGGGGCATTTTTACGAGTACGAGAACAGGAGCGCAGTATCGGGCCCTATAGTATATAACTATATAACTATAGTATATAATACTTTAGAATAATAATGGTACATTTAGTAAGAGTAGAATATATAAATTTTCTATTTGAAAATAAGATTTAGCACGTTACTGATATTACTAAAAGTTAATTTTGTATGCTTCCCAACTCAAGCTAAGTGCTTTACTGTCAAATGTGTATTACCAAGAAATAAACATGTGGTATTATTAGTAACTGCACTTGTTAATGCAAAGCCATAGTAATTTTATGATTAAATTATCATTATTTTTTGATACCCCACACACCAGCCCCCCCAGCGCTACCAAATCTGCTTCTGGCGCCACCATCCGTAGAACTTGGCACTGCTCTCAAATATTAGTCTGGAGCCATGCACTGTTACATCAGGGTTCACTTTTATGTTCACATTTCACCATTTTCATACTGGAGAGAAACCATTCACTTGTGATCAATGTGGGAAGAGTTTCACACAATCAGCACACCTTAAGAAACACATGAACATCCACGCTAGAGAGAAGCAGCACGCATGTGATCAGTGTGGTAAAATATTTTTATGGGCTTCAGTTCTGAAGAAACACTTAAAAGTTCATTCAAAGAAGAAGCCACATTCATGTAATTTGTGTGGTAACAGTTTTTTGCGTCTACAAAATTTGAAAGTAGGTCAGAAAATACATACTGCTGTGGGAGAGTACATGTGCTTTGAGTGTGAAAAGACTTTTACTTCAGAGACCTGTACAAAATTGCATGAAAGCAACCACACTGGAGAAAAACCTTATAAGTGTTCACACTGTGACAAGAGATTCAGTCAGTCAGCACATCTGAAAAGACACAATGGGATCCACACTGGAGAGAAACCTCATAAGTGTTCACACTGTGACAAGAGATACAGTCAGTCAACATATCTGAAAACACATGAGATGATCCACACCGGAGAGAAACCTCATAAGTGTTCACACTGTGACAAGATATTCAGTAGGTCAACAGACCTGAAAACACATGAGAGGATCCACACTGGAGTGAAACCTTATAAGTGTTCACACTGTGAAAAGAGATTCAGTCAGTCATCACATCTGAAAACACATGAGAGGATCCACACTGGAGAGAAACCTTATAAGTGTTCACACTGTGACAAGAGATTCAATAATACATCAAATCTGAAAACACATGAGAGGATCCACACTGGCGAGAAACCGTATCACTGCACTGCATGTGGGAAGCGTTTCAATCGTTCATGTACTCTACACAGGCATACAAAAAACAATCACAGTAAGGCCCTGTACACACAGAGACACATTTAGCTGTATACGTAAATATTTTGTATCGTATTTGAGTTTCGTCCAGACGACTCTGGCATTTTGGGAGCCTGAAAACGCAATTTTTTTAAAAACCGGGTCTCAAGAGTGGATAAATCTGAAAACGACACCTTTATGTTCGGTGTGTACAGCCAATCCGTATATTTTGTGACACGATGATGTCATCACCCCACATCTCAACCCCAGTCAGACACCGCTACGTCACGTAACAACATCAACAATAACCACAATGGCGGACTGCATGCTTGTGTTTGTGCTGCAAAAGCCCATTAGCTTTACTAACTTTACTAGCTTTTCTTGTTGTGTTGGGTTTGTGTACTGCGCGCAAGGTTGATGCACATGCGCCAAGTCATCTTCTCCTTTTTTAGTGTATCTCTGTAGTAGAATTACAGCGCCACTTACTGGTCTGGCATGAATACTACATCATTTTGAGTCAGTTTCAGTGGTTTTGTGTGTATGCAGATATTTCTTGAGATGACGCCGTGTTTACGGAAGAATGAGAAAATAAAAGATTGGATAGGGAAAGCTCTGGTTTCGTGTGGATGAGCTCTAAATAGATCATCTTCAGATGCTCCACAATAATGCATCAAGCAGTAAAATATCATCTGGATAAATCTGTCCTAACCAGTCATAACAAGCGACATGACAAAGAAACATTATCTAAAGCTTTCACAGTGAATAAAGTTTATCTTCAAAACCAGCAGATTCAGCTGTGAGATTCAGATCAACTCAAAGATGGAGTTCCTCCCTAAAGAACAATGTCAAAATGTTTTATTCTTGTATATTATTTTGCTTCATGATATAAACGATATCATTGTGTTTTCTTATGAGTTTCATATAGTTTTCACAGTGAATAAAGTTAATGTTCATCTTCAAAACCAGCAGATTCAGCTGTGAGATTCAGATCAACTCAAAGATGGAGTTCCTGCCTAAAGAACAATGTCAAAAAGTATTATTCTTGTATGCCATTTTGCTTCATGATATAAATGATATCATTGTGTTTTCTTATGAGATTCATATTATGTTCAATTGTCTTATAATGCACATGTATCACTTGTAGTTTGCTTGTAGACACTTTTTACAAACTGTTCTTGTTCAGGTCACTTTTTTTGGTTCACTTTTTTTTTTATATTGTTCTTCACTGTTGTTTTTAAAATGACTGAGTTATTCTTCCATGTAATGCTGGGTACACACCACAAGATAATCGGGCTGATTTGGGGCCGATTTCTCCCCTTCCGACAATCCTAGGTAATGTCCCGATTATCTTGGTGGTTCTAAAGATTATCTTATCA